CCTCATTTAGTGTGTAGAAAAGCAACTCCAACCTTCCATTCAAGTTTTACAAAAAAMCTAAAACCAAAAACCAAAAAATGAAAGTGGGAAGAGGCCAGAGATCTTTCTTTCTCCTTGAACAACAAAACTCTTGCCTCAAAGCAAAACCAAACTGAAGTCACTTCATMATTATTTTGGAAGATGAGGTATGCTCCTGTGGTACAAGAGCRAGGGGAAGGTGTCCCTGAGCACACAGCCACTTCAGGGCACAATTAACAGAGTTTACTGGACTTTTCCATCTGGACACTCCATTTATTATAAATAACCACCATTTTAATCATAACTCTCTGCCTGCTGGAAGCCCTACAATAATCCCGTTGTCATCTGTGGGCACTGGAGACCAGGAAGAAGGATGTGTTGGTTATTTGAGGGACTCTGTCACGAGGGCTAGGTTCAGGTCTCTCCATGTGYACAAAACATGGCAATTTGGAAAGTCCAGGTGGTCTTTGGCAAGGTCCTCTTCACACACACAAATACAGCACCACACACTCTCCCTAAGATAGTCAAAGCATAGGTATGCACTCCTCCCTCCCCTGGGAGTTCATAGCTCTTACTGTTGGTTAAAAATCTGACAAAATTAGGCCAGTATGTGGACATTGGGCCTGGAGGATGCCAAAGCTTGGGTTTTGAAGGTTTAGCTCATGATTTTTAATTTCTGGACATCAAGGGTCAAATATTTGCYTTGCTTGCTGTCTGATGAGCCCCATGGTTCAAGCACTTGACCCAGAGAATCAAGCCTATAACTGTATGACTCACAAGGCCAAATCAGCAACAACAACAACAAAAATCCTTGGAAACACRGGCAGACTCCATTACCCTGTAAAACATCACAATGTCCCAGTCATTTATGGAGCAGTACTTCTACCACCTGGGGGGAAAGGAGGCATGGACCTTCTTTAGATGTGAAACTAAAACTCTGTTTATTTCTATCTCTTCAGGATGGGTGGAACAAGGAAGGCACCAGGAAGCTAAAAACACACAAAATTAATATTTAAGAAAAAAAAATTGCAGCATCTGGCAAAATATTTTCTCTTTATATTCTTCCTTGGGGTGATGGTTATTGACCACCTGAATTGCATCRGTGGTTGTGACTGCTCTCAGGATGTAAATCACAGAGTCACAGGGTGGTTTGGGTTGGAAGGGACCATGAAGATCATCCAGTTCCAACYCCCCCATGCATAAGAAGTGCAGCTGTACTGCACATGTGATGGGCTGAATGGACGACTCAGTCCCTAGGGTAGTGTCTGGTGACGGGGGGCTTTGATGATACTTATAGGAAAGCCACTGATGGTGGAGAGCATCACTTTGGGTCCCAGCTGGTTCATGTTTTACATGCAGTCATAAAAAAAAATCAAACAATCATTTAGCATGCAATCAGCAGATGGAGGAAGGGTTTTTTTAAACCAGAATCGTAGCAGTTCATGGTCAGTACTGATTCCTTGCAGTCACAGTCATAGATTCCCCCCCAGGGGAACTCTCCCATCCTGTGCTGATGTGACCTGGAAATCCCAGGTCTTGGAGTTCCCCTGGCTCCAGGCCCATGCAGGGGGGTGAAGGCACTAGTTGCTGTTTAACATCCTGTCCCACCRGAGACTTTCAGAGGAGGCACATTTAGAGATGCATTTATTGAGGGCTTGGGTCTCCTTGGAAGAAAGGGAGTGCAAAGACAAAGCCTCTTCCCCTGCCACATTAAAGGCTCCAGTAATGGAGCAGGAAGATAACACTGAAAAAGGCTCCATAATTTGGAAGATGTTGGTTTTCTATACCAAACCCTTCCTTTGCCAGCCATCATGGAACTAGCAAATATTAAATCAAGTGCTGTCTCCACTAAGGTGCTGGCAGTCCCAAGGTGACATCTCTTACTGCTCCTTCTCTCTGGGGGTGTTTTCAATGCCAAGGTGCCCTTTCAGACGTGAGCTTCGAGGCTGAGAAGAAGCCATCTTGTAGGCAGAAGAAAACACTCCTAAAGAGGCTTGAGGTGTTCAACCTGATGACAGCAGTAGTTGGCTCAGATTTGTTTGGCTCACGGCTCTTTCCCATGTCATTGCTTTGAGTGACAGAGCAGTGAAACACTTCTTCTGCAGCTCTTGAACCAGCARCACTCAGGGAGGAAGCCCAAAGACCCAGCTCCTCAGAGAATAAACCACTCACCCACTTTAAGGACAGCGACTCCTCTCAGAGTGTCACAGCCACTTGGGAGCCTCAAGGTTGAAAACCCCTCCATGGTGCACACCTGGAGGAGCACTTAATCATCTCTGGCTGTAAGAATTTGTCTTAACTAAAGAGTTTCAATTAAAAGTCAAGACTGAATCACCGCAAAGTGCCAGAGACAGGAGCCATTAATACTGGAATGCAAGTTTTAAATAATTTTTAATATGCTCTGCAAGACATCCATAAAAGGTCCTTAATCAATATGCACTTCAATTCCTTGCATTAGGGTTTGAGGAATTTAAATTCATGGCAGGCGAAGGGTTGAGAAATCATAATGAATTTCCATCAGAGCTCTTACAGGGCCAAACCTGGGAGATCATCAGGGTCCGAGCTATTGCGAGGGTGTAACCAAATGGATCAGACTTTTTTGGTAGTCCCATTTCCTGGAGAATGGGTGGCTTGTCATTGATGTGGAATGAAATATTTGAGTCCCTGCTGGTGACAGCAGCTGTGATTTTGCTTGGTCATTCAGCCAGTATCAAATATTCACTGGCATCACTGGGAATTGAAGCATTACCTGGCTGTCCCTTGGTGAGAAGAGCAGAGAGGATGAGGATGGGCTAAGCTGCTGACATCAGCTCCCAGGGCTCCAAGGGGACCCCAAATCTTCATATGCAGCATTCCTGTGTCCTCACAGCACATGGCATAGATTTGGTAACTCCCTCCCTGCACAGGCATGGGGTTAGTTTTGTGGTTGGTGCACAGCAAAGCAAGCTAATTTCTTGCTTCCCACTGCCATCATCTCACAGCAGGGGTGTGGAAAGCCATGAGCTTTCCCAAGGTGAGGAGGGACAAAACAATCCAACCAGTCCAAGAAGACACAGTGGGAATGCAGGTTTGAAGCTAAGCCTGTTCTTAAGCATTTGGCTGGATCAAGGCCAGAGGTGCAGAAAAGAAATTTCCAGTAAGGAGTAAGCTCTAGGAAGAACCAAACCCTAGAGGAAGCTCAGGGTGAGGTTTGTGCTTCCTATTTAAGTCTAAAAAAAGCCCTGTCCCAGGAGGGGGTGAGTTTCAGTAGCATCCAGAGTGTCTCCCACACACACACCGAACAGTCCAATTCTTCGTGTCCAGGATAGGGGCGATGACAGTAAAGCACACAGAAACTTCACAGGCAGATGGACCCCTCAGAACATCCTTCCTTGCAGGTAGCCCAGGGACAGAGCAGCATCACCCTCAGAATGGTTCACAGGAGAAGGGACACACTRAAAGGAGCAGAGGTGGTTGATGCAGCCAACTTGACCCCCAGAGRTGGAAACAGGACTTAAAGATTTACCCCGTCATTATTTGCATGCTCTCTGCCGTGGGTTTGGATGAAGACCAAGTATTTCTCTCACCATCTTTCCTTGGGGGAAGGCAGGAGCTGGGGACTGTACCCTAGGAGAAGGCTGGAAGTAGCCACAGTTTAGAAGGTTGAAAAAATGCAGCCCTGTAGAGGAAAGGCAGGTGAAACTATTTATTAGCCTGCCTCAGGCCCTGCTTAGTTTACTGCCAGCCTAAAAATCCCCCAGTGCTGGGAAATCAGCTTGGACCTTGAGTGCACATTGCTGCAGCTCAGCCTGCGTTTGGAGGGTGCATCTGTTTGATTTTGCAACCCTGACGCTTGAAATGAGCTGGGGGAAAGCAGGCAGCCGTTTGGAGAGGGATAGGGGAAAATAAAAAAGGAAAGAAAAACAGAATGRAACCAGAAGCGCGGGCGGGAGGGAAGGGAAAGGGAGGATTTTGTCTCGGGAAGGAGTCAGAGCCTCCGAGGACCGTCCCCGCCGTCGCCCCGCATTGCGAAAGACCCTTTGGCTCGGGCTCGGGCGCCCCTCGGTTTTCCAAGGATTGCCGGCACGGAAAGTCTGTCCCGGGCGCTGCTCGCAGAGCGCAGCGGGGATGCCGGGGAGCCGGGAGGCCCCGCGCCGGGGCCGGGATGCGGCGGGAGCGGGGCGGCAGCGGGGCGGGAGCGGCAGCGGGGCCGCCTGCCATCTAGTGGCACCGGCACCCGGTCCCCTCCCTGCCGGCCGAGGGAACTCCCCGAGCACAGCCCAGACCCCTCTGACACCCCCCGCCCACCGCCATCTCTCTGCATGCGGGGGAATCGCCTTCGGGTTCGGGGGGTTCCGAAGGGTTTCTGCCAGCGGGGCTGGAGCATCTGCCAGGAAAATGCGCCGAGACGTAAATGCGGCGAAGCGTGAATGTGTTTGCGAACTGAGGAGCCGCGCCGATCCCAGCAGCCATGGACTCCTGCCTGGGGCTCTTTCCCCTCCCCTTCCTGCACCTTTCCCCGTCCTTATGCCTCTGCGATGGGTTTCTCCTCCTTCCCCTCCATTAAAAGAAATCCCCTGCGGCCGGAGCAGGGCTCTCCCCTCCTCTCCATCCTTTCACATCCACTGCAGGCTCGCTTCTGCCTCCCATTTTGTGGTCTCGTTGCTCCCCCACKGCTGCTGGTCCCCATAGGGAGCAGAGAGGGGATACAGCCACGTTTCTTCTCTTCCTTCTCATATGTCTTTAATATCCCCCGGATCTTTGAGGGGTGCTGATACTGCTCTTTTTCTGCACCCAAAAGTTTGCAAGCTGAAAGGTGAGGGGAGGCCTGAACCCCCTCTTCCCTTGTATCTTCCTGTAAATTCCATCATGCTATAAATCTGCCCGATTGTCCTGGGAGCTCTCCTTTACTCTGGGGGTGACAGTGTCCCATTTCATACCCAGAGAAGGAAATAGAGATGGCTTTTCAAAGGCCACCCCACAAAGGGATGGACTTCCTACGATACCATCCTGCCTCTTTGGGTCCTTTTGGGGGAGGAGCAGAGAACTTACATGGATATGTTCAAACAGGATGCTTATAAGGTGCAAAGAGGCACAGAGCTGAAATCAGATTTAAAGGGAGGGGGAAAGCTGGGCCCTGGGCAGTTGTGAGATGTGAACCCATATTTAGCTTTTCCCATTGAAATCAGCTTGGAGATAGGCTCCAACCAACCCCAGCCATGACCCAGTTCTGGAGGTCCAGTTTGCTCACAGTCTCACATGTCAGCTATGACTTTTAGTGCAAAATTTACCTGATTTTCCTCCCATCCTGCACAACCTAGCAAGGATCCAACAGCATGCCTTGAATCCAAGGACTCCAAATCAAACTCTCCATCTTCAGCAGTACCATCACAAAACGGGCAGTTGGGATTTCCTTCTGTGCTCCCCACTCACCCACTCTGTCCTTGCTCCAAAAATGTATTCACCCTCCTTTTCCTTCCTTTTTTAAAATTTATTTCTTTGTTCCTTTATCTAAAAAAACATCACAACTGTAAAAGTTCAAGTTAACTGTACAACCCAAACCTGGTGGTAGTCCAGAGTGTGGGCAGTCAAATACCGCACAAGGGATTTACAAGAACTGATCTTGCTCCATAGGTTCTTTTCACCAGATGCTTCTAAAACTCCTTTCTGTGAAGAGCTGCATCCGCAGGTAGTTGGGAATGGGAAGGGAGAAGGTYTTTGTGGCCCTTGTGTTGAGGTTGTCCCATACCAGCTGTTGACRATGCTGGGAATTGGTCTGAGGCACTTTTCATATCTAAGGAGAGATGTTTCTGGGGTCAGCACCACGTGCAAGGCAGGATTTTATCCAGGGAAAGAGGCTCAAGGCACCAGTCCGGGTCATCTCCATCCTGTAGTGTGCTGCCCTGGGGACCAAGCCTGTTCCACCACTGAGGAGGGGAAGAAATCTTCTTGGAGGAGGGGKAAAAAAAGATATTTTTGAGAAATGCTGCTACGTGGTACAGGTACCTCCAGGTACACCATAGGAGAACAGAACTGCTCCTGGTCTGTTTCCCACCTCCCAGGGCTCTGCCCATATTTCTTCTACCATGCCAGCTGGGTGGGATGCCTCATTCCTCCACATGAGCCAGTTCCTTCTGAGGCTGAATCCACAATCTTCCCATCTTAGCTCCATGACAAGCTAGAAGGGTACTGCAGAGCCAGTCCTTACACTTTTATCAGCACAGGGTTAATTAAAAMCAAATCAAGAATAGAAAACAACTCTGCATTAACCTCACGCTAGAGCAATTTCCAAGCAGGTACACCAGCGAAATAAAAACAGCAATTTGCAGCTAAATAAAAATAACAGTTAAGCATTTGAAACACAAATGYACCATTCAGGAGCAGCAGATAAATATTCAGACGCGTTCATTAGGAGGTTGAGGCTGTCTCTCAAATAAACAGACAGGTACAAAATAGCAGCCGGAATACTCCCATTACGCCAACATTGCATCAGCGCCGATGCTCCCGGCTCCGGGAGTGGGAGGGGGAGAAGGGGAGAGGGTGAGGAGAAGGGGGGCAGTGGGGAAAGTGTGTGTGGGAAATGTATTTTTCTTTTTTTTTWATCTGCCTTAAATTTTGTTTTATGTAACCGGTGTTTGGATTCTCCTCCACGGAGGGTTTAACTCCCGGGRATGGGAAGTTCTGTGCTCGTCATGGCTCCTCTGCCTGACGTAGGTTTGGCCTGGCTCCCAGGGAAGACCCCCCACACTGGGGAAAGCAGCACTTGGCCTCCTGCCTGCGGCCCTAAACCCACACCGAGGGTCCGGCAGCGGGGGCTGCCCACCCTCCACAGCCCCCGGGCAGCGAGGGATGGCCGCRGATCAGCGCAAAGCAAAACAGCACCGAGCCCAAAAGCTACAAAGCCTTTGGAGCTCAAACGCTGCAGCTGATTGAAAAAACAACATCCTCCCTTCAGCCCCCCGCAATCCCCCTTTGCCCCCTGTGAGTCCCTGCTSCCAGGTCGGGGACACGCATTGGGAGTGTGGCTCTGGGACGAGGGGACACAGGGCAGAGTGGGTGGGGTGGACAGTGCAGAGTCTTGGGGTGGGGCCGTGGGGATGCTCAGGGACAGTAAGATGTGTGGGGACACGTGTGGGGACCGTGTGTCACCTGAGGGGGAGCAAGTACCTGCCCCACGCACGGGGTGCAGTGCTCCCAGCGCACACAAACCCTGCTGTGGGGCCGTGGGGATGCTCAGGAACAGCGGGGTGTCCCTTGTGCAGGAACAGCGACACTTCTGAGGAACAGCGCAGGAACTAGCGTCAACTAGGTTGGGACAGAATCCACCCTGCCCCACACACACCGCAGCGGGACACAACGTGTGGGGCTGGGGGTGCTCACGGACAGGGGGGTGGCCCCCTGGGGACAGGTACACTTCTGAAGGTGACATATGTCACCTGAGGATGGTGGGTGGGGGACAGGTACTGTCCAGCTCCACAYACAGTTCAGGAGGCTGTAGCTTCCCACCACATGCGTAGGGCTGGGGGGCTGCTCATGGACAGTGGGACATGTCCCACCCCAGGGACAGCCACATTTTGGGGGTCACATTTGTCACCTGGGCAGTGGGTGGGGAACAGGGTACTGCCCAGCCCCACACTCCACGCGGGGGTGCGGTACCCTGATCACACGCAGACCCTTGTGCAGGCCGGGGAGGCTGCTCAGCGGTGTGTCCCCCCCTCAGGGACAGCCACACTTGGCGGGTGTGCCCCGTGTCCCCCGGCGGGGTGGCCGGTGCCGCCTGTCCCCGCTCCCGCCGCGCGGGGGCGCAGCGCTCCCCTCACCAGGGGCGCGGG